TGAAGAACATGAGTGATTTCACTAATTTCTCACTCTGGTTCTTTTTGAAGAACAATGAGAAGGAAGCATGAGAAATAATTCCCTTAGAGAAAATAGAGAACATTTTTTCTCTTGCTACAGATATGTCAGTTAATAAATAAAATCAAAAGTGGAATATGCCAGACTGCCCAAATAAAGACTTCAGTGGCACTAACAATAGAATAAAAATTAAGATTCTGACCTGTCACACAGTAGATTCATTTTATTATCATATTGTCTTTGGGAAATGCCTCAGATATATTGCTGTGGAAACAGCATGGCTATAGAACAATATTTTACAGGACTATAGGCTTGGTAACAATTCAAAATATTTAAAAAACTGTATCAGTTCTTATGACTTAAAAAAATTTCATAGCTTTGAAAAATAATCAATTTTCAAACAAAGTGAAGAAACTTATCTTCACATATTGTCAGTTTAATTTCTGCATGTGGCCCTATGTATTTAATAAAGAAAAATACAACTATCATGTTTTTAATATTAATAAATGAAGGCAGATGGAGAATATAAAATTTTTTTTTATATTTCATGTCACTTCTTATGACAATGGAAAATTAAGAACCTTTAAAAATAGTATTTTTTTTCTACTAGTATATATCAACATATAGTTATAATTTTCTATCAACTTCCCTAGTTATGAGGACAATCTTTGTCCTGGAAAAATGATAAGAATAGTGAACAAACCTCAAACATTTTGATCACTATGCAGTAAAAGATATTTTGGCATTTATAACTGCTTATTATCTTTTAAAATGTAATTTGGGGAGAAAAATGTTAATTATTTTTGGGCAGGGGCTGAAGAAATCCCAGTGAGACATTCTGTAGAGAGGTCTTTCGTTAGTGTAACATCTGACCTTCTATATCTTTGGAAATCATGCAACTTGGCTAATGTAGTCCTTAAAGAATTAATCAAGTAGATTGTTAGGCCCGAGTTACAGTGGAGCCAGCCAATTATGAGTTGCTCAGAAATTCATCACTGGCATGTCCAACCACATTTTCCCACATAAAGATTAGTAGAAATATGTGAAGACAGGGTCCATTCCCACCCCAGCACAGTGTTCAGTGAAACAAATTTCAACAATGTTTTCCCTTAGCAGAAACAAACAATTTATTTGGGAATTTTCTTGATTCCTGTCTTTACTCATAACACCGTTTATGTTTTGTTTTGTTTTTGCCAACATTGCAAAGGCTGCCCTATTTAGTTAAAACTAAACCAGGGATTTTTATATGCAAACACACTTCTGAATTAAGAGCACCAAAGTCACATGCCACAAGCCTGAATTCATCACTGTTACTGAAATCCCCAAAGACCAACACTATCTTTTCACTGCTGTGATAACGCCCTCCCAAGGCTTACTGAGAAGAAAGCTTGGATGCAATAGAGAAATGAAAGGAGCCAGAGAAGGTGAAGATTGGTTCTCTAAGGAGAGGACAGTGCTGCTCTTGCACAAAGAAGCTCCTTTCAGATAAGCAGAATCAGATTCCAGTCCACTTGTTTGCTGGCTACCCTTACTTTGAACTCTCATATTTAACCCAGCAGGCTTCAAAGCAGGTGAGAAAGTGACCTACCACTTAAAAGCAATTTTTCCTTTTTCAGGAATTCTGGCCTTGGAGAATATCAGCTCTAATATCAGCACATTCCACATCTCCAGGGATTTATGCAATTTTTTCATTGCTGTATGTCTAATGTCAAGTTTTATCTCAGCCAGGAAAAATAAATCAGAAAAAAAAGTCCTAACTCACAGAAAATGAGGTCTTATTCCACATTATTTTATTCTACCATACAAAGGAGAAAGGGAACTAAATTCACGAACCATGCCATTGGTTCCCTTCCATTTATCAAAATCTGATGTGCCGTGTGGATTATTAAAAATCATTGTTCCCTAGTGTCTTGCTTTGAGAAAAAGCAATCTTTGTTAACAAATACATTTTAACAAATTCAAACTGAATTTACTCTAGCATGTACGCTAATATAAAAAGATATTAGAAGAGGAAGAGACAATGGTGACAACTAAGGAAATTTACTTAAATTGCTTTGCCTTACTAAACAGAAAAGCAGTATGTTTCATAGAAAAGTGTTCATTCATTTCTACTATATCTGACTTAATTGAAAATCCTAACAAAGGCAGTTTGAAAACTTACCAATAGGTTCTATTCTATGAGACGTTTGCCATGGCTAGAAGTTGAAACATTTTTCCACTTTCTGTGGTCCACATATATACTTAAAAGGTACCAGAAGTATAGCACTAACAATATTGTTTACAGATTTACACTGTAGGAAATGCATTTTGAGTTTACTATTAGTACATAGCTCTCCCAAAGAGGTAGGGTAGGGTCTCCTGCTATAGCTGCGCTTTGGTAATGATGATGACAATGACAGTGGCGACAACAGCTAACACCTAGTTTTTACTATGGGCAGACACGGTTCTAAACACTTGACATATTTTAAACACATTTAACCCTCACACACAGAAAAGACCCTGTGAGGTAGTACTATTCTCACTTGACAGTGAGGGGGAGAAAAAGTTAAGTAAAGTACTCAACGTTGCATAGCCAATAAGTGTCAGGGTTAGAATCAAAGAAAAGCAGTCTGGTTCCAGAGCCTCTGCTCATAACCACTCAGGAATCCTGCCCCTTCTCTACCTTGAAAAGGTGATACTAACCAGGTGTTCTAAAATCCTCTTTTGGGGGGTAAAGTCAAGCAGGGCTTCTCGTTTTAATATGCATATAGGATGGCCTGGGAACCTTGTTAAAATGCTGATTCAGGCAGTCTGGAGTGGTGCTTGAGATTCTGCAATTCTAACAAGCTCCTGGGTCATCAATGGTGATGATCCCAGTGCATAGAACAAACTTTATTAAGTGGTGAAGATGTAGGATGTGAGCCTCTTGTTCTCTTTCTGGCTGGCTGGCTATTTAGTCATTTATAGGTTATGTCTATACGCTGGAGACTTTCCATACCGCAATCATTTTCCATCCATTCTTAAATGGAACCTGCCCTTAAAACTGCTGCATACTGAATATTGGTTTGCAGGTAATTTCAGTAAATACTTAGCTTTTAGGAACTTAAAACATATATATGAAAACCACAGGGATTGGTTGTAAAAGTCTGCTGTTGGGCACATTTTTAACACTATATATCACCAACTATACAAATACCAGAAGACAGAAAATAAATGCCTATTCGTTGTTCATCAACCAGAATCACTGTGAATTAATATCTTTTGGCCTAAAAAAGGAGCTTCCACTTTAAAATCATAATAATTCATTCTCAGACTCTGCTAGAAGAGTGCTAAGGAGCTTGTACTATGCAATCTTCAAGGCTCTTCTGGTATATCCGTGATCTCAATAAAGGCAGACACTACCTACTAATACCAATGGACAGAGCTGATGATGAGTACAATCCACATTAATTTTAGCCAGTGCCTCATGGAAGTACACCACTAACATCTGCCACATCTCTACTCCAGACTGTACATCTCCCTCCTCGCTCTAGTTCACCTCCTTCCCACTGCCCCGAGACAAACCCAGTATTGAAGTAGCTCTCCCATTGCTTGCCTATGGTCTCAAATGCGAGCTGCATATTTTTTCCAGTTGCTAAATGGATGGGATTCCCTTTCTAGGCCATTTTTTCCATGCCAGATTACACAGTAAGGTCATTTCAGTTTGAGATGCACTCACTCAATCAGCACCACTGCATACAACAGAGTTATGGTATAATCACTAAGCTTCCTCTTTACACCAAAAGAAAAGAGGATAGTCAGCTTCCAACCCAAATATCTATAATCCCTGAACAACAGAGAAAGTCATTCTTCTTTAAGTTTGACCCAAAATCAAGTGTGGTCTCAGACTCCTAGGCCTACAGCCAGTGGCAACTTAACACATTATACAGTTGACCTTCAGGGAAAAAGGGAAACCAGTGCTCTTACTACTGGTGCCAGAAGAAAACCAACTAATCTTTAAGGCACAGAACAAACTATTCTTAAGGCAGGAAAAGAAATTGTGAGAAAACAGGGAGTTCGAATGGAGGTATTTAGAGAAAAATACTGAAATCACATTACCAAGTAAGGGCTAGTGTTTCTATGGTTCTCAGTGCTCTTCTATTTGGGAATAAATGAATCGTCATTTTCTTTTTAGGTTTGAACTCTTATTACCTGGTAAAAGTGCAAAGATGTACAAGAAAGACACATTTTTTTTAAAAGGCTGAGAGACTTAACAAGAATTCTCTTTGGTAATTTTACTTTGAGCCAGTGATAGTAATTTATAAGTTTATGTAGAAGAGTAAATAACCATGGGAGACCCTCTGTAGAATCAGTCCTCAAGTACTTCCTGGACCTGCATAAGGAAATGGGGAAGTAGTTCAAAACCAAAGGGTAAAAATAAAAATAAAGGTCTACACATGGTTCTACACTCCAGGGCAGGGAAGGTCAATAAGAACAAGCAGATACTATAACAGGGAGAACCTCTGAGTAAAGAGGCACATCTGTGCCCAGTGTGAATGTCCTAACTGTCCCATATTACTTACTTATTCTCCATCTTAGTCGCACTCTTGAATTGAAAGTTCAGCAAATACTTAGAACTAATAATTTCATTTAAATGGAAAAATCAAATGGCTTGTTTATAAAATAGGATTTTTTTTTAAAATGCCAAGAAAATACATTTAAAAGAACTGGATTATTCTTTAGCTAGTAACAAGTGCTATGTTTACTACCAAATGTGATCTACAAAGACCAATTTTATAATGTTATGCCATTGTTTTCTTCAAACTTTTAAGCAACAAAAATATAGCTCAAATCACCGAAAACTTGTGTTTGACATATTTATGGCAGCAAGTTTACAAATCAATTCCTGTAATTTACTATAACAAGTATCATCCACCATACAACTGGTTTAGCACAAACACATTAGAGATGGGTTTTTGTGTGTTTTACAAATGCTCTACACAAGTCCTTGAGATCATACTTACAGCTTTAGCAAAAACACCCATGATTTCAGGAAACTGGTGTGTGAGAAGAGCTATCATTGCTGTAGAAGAACACAGTCCTGCTGTGAAATAGATGAAAAAAGGAAGCTCCTTCTTTGGGTAAACAGATACTTGATGAAAGGCTGCAAGGGAGAAAAGGTAGAAGTAGATTTTAGTTAAGACTAGAGTGTAAGCCAGTTTTAATATTTTCAAGCAAAATCTATTTTCTAAAACTAAAAAGAAAATTAATTAAAAAACAAAAAAGAACAAGAAGTCTCTGGCTAAGCAAGGTAGAAAAAAGTTATCCATTATTTATTCCAGTATCCACAGGGTATCCCCATAGCCAGAGGACTGTGCTGGCCACTGGGAATAGGATGGCATCGTGGGAAAGAACACTAATTGTAAAGTCATGCTGAGGTGGTTCTGAAAAAGAGCTTTGTCACTTATTAGCTGTGTGATCTTGAATAAGTTGCTAAACCCTCTATTAGTTGCTAAGGAGTTGTTATGATGAACATTGTAAGCCCTTAATAAGTTATTATAATTCTTGCTCTTTGGGAACTCAGAGGGGAGTATAGAGATCAAGAGACAGACATGTGGTTGGAGATTTTCCAAAACCATCAGTTATTTATTTCACCCAGTTATTCTATACTAGAGGCCCGGTGCATGAATTCATGCACGGGTGGGGTCCCTCTGCCTGGCTGGCGTCTGGCCGGTGGCCGGGGAGGGCTCCAGGGCATGTCTAGCCCTATCTCGCTCAGTCCCCATTGGCTGGACCCCAGCAGCAAGCTAACCTGCTGGTCGGAGCATCTGCCCCCTGGTGGTCAGTGCATGTCATAGTTACCGGTCGGTCAACCACTTGGTTGGACACTTAGCATATTAGGCTTTTATATATATAGATGTGGCATCTTATTGAGCAGTATAAAAATTGAACTAGAATACCAAAGCCCAAGCCCACCCCTAACTGTCTCCCTCTCTGTGTCTTATTTTACCACATACAAACATTTACTCAGGTATTACTTTTCTAATATTGGGTATTTCATTACCCATAGTATTCAGTACTTATATTTTATTTAAATTTGAAATACTTGTATA